ATGAGTGAATTCTCTAAAAAACATATGTGCTCTTAGAGCAATAGTGGGATCAAGTATCAGCAGTAAATCTAGTTGCGCTATCAAAAATGTGATCTCAGCTGCTGAAAAAAATGACATAATGGGAAAATAAATAGTAACATTAATGACTTTTCAATAATCCCTCTATTCCTTTGAAGTACACTGTAAAATTTCCAAGCAGTGTCTTTGCTGTGATCTCAGACCACTGAAATAGAAAATTATGTAGTGCTTGGAGTACACGTAAACTTTGGTAAACTCCAACATACACCACCCAAGACAAAGAGCCCAAAGAATCCAAGACTTTGTGTTGGCGTATAATAGAGGAAGGGAACTGATACTGTAAAATAAACATTCTTGACCTTGTACTTCCTTGTCAAGGAAGGCCCCAAGGAACATGCCACAGGCCCACCTCACCTCCTGGGTAGCCACCACTGACAGCTGTGGTTGCTGAGGCTTCCTTCCCAGCTTGTCATCTCGCGTGTGGGTGCTTCAGTAGCACCATAGGCTGTGGTTTTAACTGTGTTTTGTATCTCTGTGGGTAGCTGCTACCTGCAGATACCTGCAGAGGCCTTCCCAGCCTCTTCCAAAAAGCCTGCTTTAGGTGAGCAATACTTGACACAATTGTTACAAAAATAAGACAACTGCTTTTGTGATCACTGAAGAGAAAGCTGATCTTTCTTCATGCATATCTCCTCTACAAAGTTAGATAAAGCTGGCAAAAGAAATCTGTGGGAGGAAGTAATAAAGTATCAGGCAATGCTTGCCTTTGGCAGGGAGGGGAGGAGGGAGCATTTTCTGAGAACTTTTGGTCGGGAGTTTAAGGAGAGTTCACCACACATGGGTGCCACCACTGGGGTGTGACTAGCTTCTGCCAGTAACAAAATGATTTGACATGGCACAGAGGACCCTTGTTTGGCCAAGCTGTTGGACTGTTCCTATAGCTGTAGTTCGTCCTAAGCAAAGTAGCTAAGTCTCCATATACTCGGAGAGGAGTATGCCTCTTCTGACCCAAGGTCCCTCCCAAAACTTAGGCTCCGAAGAGATGCAGGAGGGCTCGAAGGCTGTACAAATACAAATCCTTGAGAAGGAGCAATCATGAAACCTTTTAGAAGTCAAACATTAACCAAAAATATTACTGGTGCATTAAAAAGTAATATAAGGACACAGTGTTTATTATGCTTGGGCTATTCTGAAAATAAATTTAATGTTGTGGAGATCATTTTACTGATAAACTCTGTAGAGCTGCCCTTTTTTTTTTTTCCTGCTTGGATCTTTCACAAGAAGTTGTAGGTGAAGATTTACCTTGTGCCACTAAGAAGTACAGAGTTTGGGACAAGCAGAAACAGAAGCTAAAGTGGCTTTAACTGATTCCTTCATGGCCCGGGAGCAGAGAGACCTTTGGCATAAGCCGGACACTGCAGAGCTCATCCTATGACTGCCTGAAATCTCTGCAGTATATCATCGCCAGCTGGTTGTGCTCGGTCATATGTGCTTTTTACAGCAATGGTGCTGTTAAAATCATCCTCAGTTCACCTTGCAGCTCCTAAGGCCCCTTTCCCATTGCCCAGGAAACAGGACATCAGAAAAGAAGTATCTTAAGTAATATGATGGGTTGGCTAATGTTTGATAGTAGTAATAGCTTGATTCAGAGGCATCTCCAGAAATGTCTCCTCCACATCTATTGTCTTTTTGCTCTTACATTCTGGAATTACCAGAAACAACAACTGTAAAAATCAGGTTAATTAATACTGAAGAAATGTACCTGATGTGATCCCCATATGAATTCCCTTGAGACCTTTATAATTGCTTTTTGGCATTCACCCCAACCTGCACTGGTGCTTTTGCCAGGAGCGACTTAACTTTTTGTTCCTTTCTGCCTATCATTTTTTGTCACGCTTGTAATGCCTCTCTGAGCACTCTGTTTTCTTGACCATTTTCAGTTAACCTTCAGCTTTGTGCCTAAAGGAACCAAGTCAGTTTAGAAGTGGACTTAAAGTGGCATTTTGTAAAAAGACCTTTTTAGCCCCCTTAAAATAAAAATTGCAGAAAGCAAAACCAAGCACCAAGACCTCCAGATATTCCCTCAACCCCAAGCAGGGATGTTACTGAAACATTTTTAAAATTCAAGCTGAACGTAATTTCAAAATAAGTAAGTAATGTTTGCAGTATTAGGGCAACTACACTAAGAACTCTAAAGTGCAAACAACAGAAGCATACGCCTTTGGTTTCCATTGTCCTCTGTGAAAGAAGTGGCAGAAAGAAGCAGCACATCATGAGTGGTGGAAGTGAGTGAGAAAGCAAACTGGATCCCAAGGTGCTAATAGTTGTATCTGAGTTTAAAAGTATGAACCAAAAGTTGTCAGGCTTCTTTTAAAAGCACACTCAGTTCAAGGAAATGGCAAGAGATTTTTCCTCTAATACCTCTTGGTGGCTCTTCAGCACACTTGCTCACTTTTTATGAAAGAAAAAAAAAATGCCTCCAGTTCTGTGCCAGCTGTGCGCTAAGAATCACGTACCTTGAATGCCCCAAGCACCAACCCCATCAAACTTGCAAGTCTCTTGCACATTGCTGGCTGTGCAGCATCACACCAATAGAGTCTGAGGAGCAGCAACACTGCAGCTGTTGACGTCATGTATCCCCACATCACATATCCCAGTTCTGTTTGTGCAAGCTACACAGATCAGAAGCCCAGGCCAGAGGTGTCCAGCCGTCATTGACTTTCATAGCCCCTGCTGAAAACCCTTTGATGTTTCTCAGTGACTTGGGCTTTTTCTGTTGCTGCTCCTCACTTACACCAGCTGATTTTTTCCTCATTATGCAGTGAGTGGTTTGCTTTGCTGTACACAGATTTTGTTATTCCACTTACATTTCCCTTCTCTCCTGTAATGAAGTTACTTTATAAATGGGGGTGAAAAAGGAAAGACATAGCAATGCTCTATATAATATGCAGTACTTCCATAGCTTTCAGAGACATACTCTCATCCCTAATTAGGGAGGATTATTCATTTGCCATGCTTGCAGCTTCCAGATTGTTGCTTTTGAGTTGTCACCATGGAGAATGGAAAGAGGAAAAGCTGCTACTGAACTGTGTTTTTATTGTCCTGCAGACAAACAA